AAAAACAATAACCACCTCTATTTACTTGCTTATAATGTACCAGCCACTGAGCTTAGCATTTGATATATTAATATTATAACACTTGCTTTTCACCACGACCTTAAGAGTAGGCATATTGTTAGCCCCACTTCAGAGAGCTATTTGTTTGCAGTCACAGTTAGTAAGCGGGCAACCAGATTTGAATGCAGAAAGACTGATGTCAAGCCTCATGCTTTTAATCACTGCTATGTGGCCTCTCCTTCAGGGGTTTGGGAACTAGTATCCTTGATAAATAGATGTACATTATTTTTTTTAGATAGCTGTGCAAACTCACTAGGAATCTAATAAGTGTGAGCTGTAAACTGCACTAGGAAGAGGTTCAACTTAGTGGTTGAGAGCTTGGACTCTGGAGACCCAGCTGCCTGAGTTTAAATCTCAGTTCCACCACTGAATAGCTGTGCAATTGCAGGTAATTCTTTGAATGTTTCTAAACTTGTCTCCTCATCTATAATATGGAACTAATAATAGCATTGTTGAGGGAACTAAATTCCATTATTTATGAAGAGTTATCAGCACAATGTTTAGCACAAAAATATCATGCAATTAGTTGCTATCCATTTTATTTACAAAGATGAAAATATTGGAGGTGGGATGGGGAGTAAAACACTTGTAAAAGGCTTGGGAAAAGAGGCACTTTGGTGCTGTTTGTTGGCTTGTAAATGGTGTAACTCTAGAGAAGAACAATCTGGCACTCAAAAATAAACAACTTCTCTGCTAATTAGAATTTATTTCTCATATTGTCTACCTATCAATTGTTGATGTCCATGTTTTCTTGAGGTTTTGAGATAATACATCTCTTTCAAATAATAAAAAAGCTGAAGTTTGCATGACCTCTACTAGTCAACAGATAAGGTTCAAAGACAAAATCAGCATTCCTGTGGTAAAAAAATCATCTCATGTACGCATGTCTGACTCAGAATGTACTGTGAAATTGTAAAATAAAAATGAAAACACTGACCTCTAGTGATAATGACATGCAAATTATCTTCTTTCCTTTCCTTTTTTTTTGTTCTTTCTTTCTTTTTTTTTTTTTTGAGACGGAGTTTCGCTCTTGTTGCCCAGGCTGGAGTGCAATGGCGCAATCTCGGCTCACCGCAACCTCCACCTCCTGGGTTCAGGCAATTCTCCTGCCTCAGCCTCCTGAGTAGCTGGGATTACAGGCATGCGCCACCATGCCCAGCTGATTTTTTGTATTTTTAGTAGAGACGGGGTTTCACTATGTTGACCAGGATGGTCTCGATCTCTTGACCTCGTGATCCACCCGCCTTGGCCTCCCAAAGTGCTGGGATTACAGGCGTGAGCCACCGCGCCCGGCCTTTCTTTTTAAGTTTATGTATTTAGCTTCTTAACAAAGCATCATAGATTCGCAAAAAAAATCAACATACAATAGTCTTTGGCTTTCTCTTACATTATTAAAAAATAATTTCTAACATGTATAGATGATCACAAAAGAACATTTTATTTCCTCTCTTTTTATATAATCATAGGTTGTATAAGTTAACATTAAAATGATTATATTAGAAATCAGCCTACCTTAAAGGGGGCATGATTGTGAAATTCGTGATATGGAAGAAAGAAGAAATGCTAAATTTTGCTTTCCAGCTAAACTGTGGTTCCTGGTTATGGCAAGCAACAGAGATGAAAATCTGGAACCTTGAACAGCCAAAAATCAACTAAGAGGCACATGATTACTGTTTTAAAAACAATGAGTATATTATAGAAAATATATCAACAAACCCAGTTATTCATGGCCCAGGTTAATTAATACTAATATTTTCTCCTAATTTTTCTGATTTTTAAAGATGGGAAAGTAGATAAAATTAGATCTTCCTTTGTTTCAGGTTTCATCTTCCTTCTCCCAAAGTAAGTGCTGCTATGAGCTTGATATATATCCTTTAAATGCCTACTTTTACATACACAAACATATATGTAATAAATATATATAACATAGTACCTGATTATGAATGCCTTCCACAAAGCCAAAGCTGACACAAACAGCAGAGTCTACATTTTCTCTCTCAATTCCATCCCCAAAATTGGTTTATGAAAAAAGTATCTTCTGAAAACCAATCTCCAAACTGAAAACTTCAGAGCATGTCCCTAGCCTTTTATTTTATTTTGTAAAGTACCAGTTGAACCTGGGATATAAGGAGTCATAACACAAGGTGTAGCCTTGTCTGTAGCTGTGTTCTGTGTTGAATTCCATTGAACTTACCCCACTCCCAGCAGCCTACAATAGCCTGAAAATTGAAATGGAATTACCCTAGAAACATCTGTACACTCAGTATAAATTGTGAACAGTCAGGAATATCCCTTCCTGATTTACCTGTTTTTGGACGCTGGTATTTTCTTGAAACTTTCAGAAAGTTTCATGTATTCTCTTGACTCGAGATCATTCTACACGAGAAATTTGCTTTGTCTGATGAAAACCTCTGTTCTCTTTTCCACACTTTCATCTTTTAATACCTTCTTATCCTTTTCCCTTGATTTAGGTATCATCATCATCTGCTAGAGAATTCTTCCTGATTCCAAGATTAGGTTTGTTCTCCCAGAGTACTCTGAGTTTCCCCTAAGTAGAATTCCTTCTCACAGTTTCCACCAGCCATATGGGGCTTCCAGGGGACACATTTGGCACCAGGGCTCACAACTTGGTCATCAGAACTCCATTTTCTCCCTCATCAGGAGCTCCTTGTGCAGGGGCCCACAGGCAGCAGGCTTGATGCTTTAACAATTACCTGCTAGCCTTTCCAGTTCATATCTCTCACCATCCAACCAAACCCTTGAAGGAAAAAGGGTGTTCACCATTGAATCCCATGTTCCTTCAACAGTTTCCAATAAAATGTGCTAAATGAATAAATCTTAGTGTATTAATTTATGGTACTTCTCCTGGATATCTTACTCTCCTATTTCAAGATAACTAAATTATAACAGGATTCCAAAAAAGATTAGTACATTTCAAATATACTGTTGGCTTGGTTCTGGAAGCATTCCCTTTGAAATCTGACACTAGACAAGGATGGCCCGCTCTCACCACTCCTATTCAATATAGTACTGGAAGTTCTATAACCACTAAGTTGTTGTAACTGTTGGCCCTTGAAAATGTTGGGAAATTTCTGTTTACTCTCCCCTCATGGCACGTCAAATGCCTTTTCTCAGAGCAGAAAGGAAATATGTCTTCTTTGTGTCTATCTCATATTTTATTGCAGGAAGATCATTATCCCACAAAACAAGTTAAAATAAATGAAGAAAAAAAGAGAAAGATTGAATAGGAGAAGAAAAGAGAGAAAATAATATTTATTGAATGACGATATATGCATTTACTATGCATTTTATCTGTATTCTTTCATCTTTATTTCAACTTAGTGATATATTTATTTTCACCATTGTACAAATAATCAAGGGTGAGGGGAAATTGAATAATTTGCCCACTTACCCTTAGTTGTCTGCACCCCATACTTACTAATGTGATACCAAGATGATCTCAGGAACAATCCTAGCTATAATGATGTGAAATTGTTAGATAGTATTAGTTATCTCTCACAAAAATATTTAAATTATCTGTAGACCATGACATGTCAGAAACTTTGAAGAACTGAGTTTTAGGTAAATGCAAATTAAACCACCGTGAAATGCCACAACCACACCGCATAAGAATGGTTACAATGAAAAGAATTGACAAGTCCAAGTGTTGACAAGGATGTGAGGCAACTGGAATGCTCTTACATTTCTAATAGGAGTATGGATTTGCACAACTTCCTTGTGTTTTGGCAATAACGACTCTACTTAAACACATATTCTCCCTATGACTTAGCAATTGCATTCCAGAATATAGCCATGAAAAATGAGTGAAGTGGCCCACCAATGTACATGTGGAATGTCGTTTTCTGCTTTTAACTATCATAAAAGATTATAATGTTATTTATAATAGCATTATTATTA